GCAGGTGTGGAAAAGGCCCTGAGGCAACGTCAGGCTCTGGCTGGGGGCTGGGGGCCAGGGTGGCTGGAAGGGGGGCAGGGCGCAGGGGGCGGGACCCGAGGGGCAACTGAGGGGCCGGGCTGGCTGCACCTTGTCAGCCACAGTATGGATTTTGTTTGATTTTGAGTGAAACGGGAAATCTTTGAAGAACTTTAAGTCAATCCCACGTGGCTTACATTTAAAAGGATGACCCTGGCCATGTGGGGAACAGGCTGCAGGGACAGGAGGGGCTGGCGAGCTGGCACAGCAAGTGGAAGGGCATTGTGTGGAGTCTTGGATCAGAGCAGTTGGAGTGGAGAGCTGAAAACTGCGCATATATTTTGAAGGAAAAGCCAGTGAGGGGCTTTACCCCAGGGATGTTCATCTAGTGAGTTGAGGATGGGGGTGCCATTTCCGGCGGAGGCAGGCTAGCAGGAGAGGCCCTCGGCTCACTGCCACCAGCGTGCCCATGCTTCCGCCCTGTCCTCCTGCCCATCCTTTTCCGTACAGTCATCTGTCTCTGTCCCCCGCCTGTCCACGTCCCCTCGGCCATCCCGCTCAGCCGTTCCTCCTATTGTCGATTCAATTCCTGTCTCCACACACCCAGCACCCATCTTTTTCCCTTCCTTTCCTCCCACTACCTTCCCACCAGCCTCGTCCGTTACTTGTCCATCTGTCCATCTGCCCAGCTGTCTTCTCATTTTCTGCTCCCTGACTTCACCCACTTCGCCCCCTAACAACAGGCCAGCCAGTAACAATAACGCAACAGGGGCACTGGTATCTGTTGAGCTCTGTGCATATTTCAGGTACTGGTCTAACTCTCTGTGATTCCATTTATTATTTTATTTAATAATGACCTAAACTCTGTGAAATGGGTGCAGCTGACATTCTTGTTTCACAGATGAGGAAGCCGAGGCACAGAGCTAGAAAATGACCTCCTGGAGGTCACACCCATGGGTCGCCCGGCCCCTGCGTCCGCCAGGCACCGTTCTAGCCCCTCCTGTCCACCTGCGTCCTCTCTCCCTTTGCCCACCCCCCTGCGCTCCGCGTCTCTCAGCGAGGTCGTTTCTGCGTCAGCCTCTCTGCTTCCCCTTCTTTCTAACTACCTGCCTGTGGTGTCATGTATCTAGTCACCCACTGAAGCTTTGACCATCGGCCCTTCTCTCCTCCTCTCTCCTCTCACCCCACAGTTCCCACCCACCCAAACGCCCGTCTCTCCACCCCTCCCCTCAGGTATTTGTTCTTCCCGCTCTCCCACCCAAACTGAGTTGTCCGTTCCTCACTTCCGGATCACCCTGCCTCTTCGCTCTCCGCCTCTCCCGTCACGGACCGTGCCATCCACACAGGGGCCGTGGGGCCAGCACCCATTTGCCCGGCCACCTGCTCGCCGCCCCTGCCTTCACCCAGCACCCCTCTCCTCCCCTGGGGACTCGCACAGCCACAGAGCTGCCCATTCCCCAGGCTGCGTGCCCTCCGTTTACCTTCCCGGCCTGCCCCGACTGTTCACCCCTCAGCCTGCCCACTTGCCCCGCTCTGCCTATTAGTCCCTGCCCCCCTTCAGCACCCCAGCTCCCCAAGCCCCCTCCATTGTCCTTCCACATCTCTGCCACCCTCCTCAGGCTCTCTCCTGTTCCTTCCTGCCCCCTGTTCTGTTGATGTCAGGTGCTCCTGGGCCCAGCCCTCAGTCCCCTTTCCTCTGTCCACATGCCCTTGCTGATGTGCCATCTGCGGCATCCCACACCGGCTCCCTTGTATGTATACCTCTGCCCTCGACCCTGTCCGGACCTCCAACTCTGATAAAACCGCCCTACTCACAATGTCTAGATGAAGCTTCTCGCTTAACACTCAGGGATGAAGTTCCTGAACCACGCAGACACACTCCTGGGACCTTCCACAACTTCCTTGTTTCAAGTAATATAAGCAAAAAACCTTGAGATCATCTCAAATTCCATCCTTTTTTTTTTAATCACACTGCACATGTGATCTCAGCAAATGCCATCAGCTCTGTTGTGTTCAGGACATACCCAGGACGCATGGGCTCTCCCACCTGCACTGCAGCCCCGGTGCAAACCAGCCTGCCTGCCTGCCTGCACTCTCTCTCCCTGCCCTGGGTCCAGCCTCTGCCCCTGCCCTGAGTCTCTTGAGAGTGACCGAATCACTGAGTTAGGACATGTCGGATCATGTCATTGTTTTCCTGCTCCAAATCGCCACAGAGCACCTGCAAAGCCCTGCACGACCTGCCGCTGGCCGGCTTGCTCTCTGACCTCAGGTCCTACTCCCCGTCGCTCCCTTCTGGGCTCTGCTCCCACCTGATGGGCTCTGGTTCTTCCCGAACGCCAGGCACATCCCAGCTCAGAGCTTCACGCCTGGCCGCGCACTCCGCGCAGATAAGCTTACAGGCAGCAGGCACCTTCTCTGGGCTTTGTCAGATGCCCGTCCCCTTCTCCGGAAGCTCTTTCCTGAGCGCCCGGTGGGAGCTCTACCTCCTACACACTTCCTAGTTCCTTATTCTCTTCAGTTGCTGCTCAGCACACTTAACACATTCCGTATTTTACTCATCTATCACGTTTATGTGGCATCCTCTCCCAGGAACGTAAGCGCCCTGAGGGTGGGGACTTGGTTTTTGTCCCCTGCAATATACCCAGGACCTAGAAAACACTTGCACAGAGCAGGCACCGACTACTATCGATAGATTGACTAATGAGTATATCCTCTAGCATGCACTGATTCGCCCGACAGCCGTCCAGTAACCCTCCCTGCCTCCCGTCTATCTACTGTTCCACATACCCAACATCCGCTCGTGTATCTGTCTGTCCACCCACTCCATCCATTAGACAAGCACCTGTCTGTCATTTATGCACCTTCCACTCCACTCAGCTATGGCCACATGCCCACCTACTGCCTGTCCCCCCGCCCAGCACACACCCTGTGTCCACCTACCCCCTTTCTCCTCCACTCATCTGTCTGCTTGAAAGTGTTCCGTCTGCCTCTTCTCCTCTCTTCCAAGTTTCCAATGAAGAGATCATGGCCAAGGCTTTACCTTAGGAATTCAGAATTGTTTTAACATGAGAAAATCCATGACTATAATTCATTAATGAAGTAAAGGAGAAATACGTTTGTCCAGTGGGGATTTTTTCACACATTAATGTACTTCTAGCAATAAGTGAGCATCTCCTTAGTGGTGAGTTTTAAGGTCAAGACTGAGCCGAGGCTTCCCGTTCCATCGTGTGATTGCCCTTCGGCGTCGTCCCGGCAGGCCTCGCCCCGTCTGTACGAGCTCACTCACTGCGTGCGTCCCAGAGCTCTGGGCACCGGGAACGTATGTCACGGCCGAGCCTCGCCGAGGGCTGCGCAGCCGGCGATGGGCACAGTTGGGATCCACACCCAGGCATGGCCTCTGCCATCTGTGCTCCGAGCCACCGTGCTGGACGGTCCAGCAACAGGAGAGGCAGAAGTGCCGTGACTGCAGCAGGTGCGGCTTCCCCCACGGAAAGCTTGGCCACTCGGCACGATTCATATGGTAGCTTAGCTGGACTCAAAATCAGAGTACAAATGCAGTTGAATCCTTATACACCAGCAAAACTATGTGATTATAGACATCGCTCACATCATAACCGCAACCAAAATAAATCGACTAAGGCTAAATCTAACAAAAGATTTATTAGCTTTCTCTGGAGAAAACTGTAAAATGTTTAAGACCTAAATAAGTGGGTGAAACATCATGGTTCAGAAAGGACAAAAAAACCCTTTGAACGCCAGTCCTCTCCGGAGTCACTAGCGTGAAGACCAGGCAGGGCGTGGGCTTCCTCCCTCCCTCCGTCCCTCCCGATTCCTCGGTGACGGCGACGCCTGCTGCTTTCCCTCTTTCCGTCGTCTCGTCTCGTCCATTCATTCTGGGCAGTCCAGCCTCCAAGCCACCGGCCTCTCCCCCCTTCCCCGATGCCTCCCTTGTGTCACCCGCCTGCACCTCTCTGTTTTCTTCTGGGCCTCTCGCTGCTCCTTCCACCGTTCCCCTCCTCCATCCATCCACCCTCAGGACACCCCGACACCAGCTGCCCTCCGACCGTGCCGTCTCTGTGACGGCATTGCCTACCCCTCCGTTCCCCCGTCCACCCACCCACTGGGCAGTCAGGTGGTGAGCCCAGCCGGCTGCCTGCCTGCCTTCCTCCCTGCAGCCAAGCCCCTTTGCCCCCTCATCCATCCACGAAGCACTAACACAGAGACTTTCTCCCTGCCCATCCCCTCTCTCTCCCTCGCCTCCTCCTCCTGGGTTCACTCCCTGCCCACAGCATCTCTGGGCTTTGTGGGGGAGAGCATGCTGAGGAGAGGGGCATCCCGACCTGCCCGCGTGAGGCGGACGCCCCTTGGGGCCGGTTCTGCAAAGCCGCAGAATCCGGAGATGGGTCCAGCTCTGCCCGCTGCCTTCCCAGGACTTCCTGGGCTCCGGTCCTCTCCTTTTACCTTAACATCCCCTCCCAGAGATTGTGGGGATACCACCTGTCCTGTCCATTCCCAGGGAACCCGAGTTCCTTCTAAACCAGGTGGACGTCCTGTGAGGACACGCTCGGGTCACTGTGCCGTCCGATCACCTCTCTCCCTCTGAGACCAGCTTCCTCTTTTCTTCACTCATTCATTCGCTCCCGCTTTCTCAGGTGTGACTGACATGTGACATTGTGTAGGTCTAAGGGGCGGGACATGACGATTTGTACACGTGTATACTGCAGGGGGGTTCCCACACCAGGCTTGATTAACATGCCATCACTCGCAGAGTCACTTTCTTCTCTTGTGGCGAGAACACTTAGGATCTACTGTCTCACCAGCTTGCAAGCATATAATACAGTATTTTTAACAATCCTGCTTTATTTTAAATAGTTTTGGACTTCAGGAAGTTGCCCAAGAAACAGAGCATTCCCGGGTGCTGTGGCCCCGATGCCCCAGTGTTAGCAGGTCCCCGTAAGCACCTTCCCTCCTCCGGGCCACAGGTTCGGGACAAGAAGCTCCTGAACGACCTGAACGGAGCGGTGGAGGACGCCAAGACGGCCCGGCTCTTCAACATCACCAGCTCCGCCCTGGCGGCCTCTTGCATCATCCTGGTCTTTGTCTTCCTGCGGTACCCGCTCACCGACTACTGAGGCCGCTGCCCCGTGGCCGCGGGGACAAAGCGCCAAGACGTGTTTGCTTCGGCGATTGAGGTGATGCGGGACACCGTGGGGTGGGGGCTGGGCAGGGCGTCTGCGTCGGGATCCCCAAAGCTGTGAGCCAGGCAGCGAGGACGCTCCGCACAGGAAGGGGGCAGCGAGCTCCTGCCGGCCCACCCTCTCTGCCTCCCGGCCTCCTGCCTCCGCCTGTTTTGGGGTCCTGGGCTCCCCCTTCTGCTGCTGTACCCTGGCTCCCGTGGCTGCCCTCCCTGCCCTCCTGTGTCCACGCCCCTGGGGCCTCTCAGATCCAACACCTGGTACGAAGGGCTTCTGTGGGAGTGCCCCAGGCTGAGGGGGCCTGCCGGCATCTGGGGGCTCCCCACCCTCCTGGGCCCACCTCCCCCAAGCTGTGACCCTGCTCAGAGCTCTTGTATCTGTGAACTTTCAATAAAACACTGTCCAGCTCTGGCCCAGCCTTCTGTCCCATGCCCGGCTAGGGCATGGGGGGAAGTGGGAGGCTCTGGGAACCCCCTTCAGGCCCTGCCTGGCGACCCAGGGCCCCAAGTGCTGCATCCGCTTCCCGGCCAGGAAGGTTGCTCTGTAACTGGCAGCCTACTGCCTGCTGTGCATTACAGGACTGAGGGGCTTTGGGGGGAAAGACACCCCAGACCCGAGCCCCTGGAGGATCAGGCAGCCTCCATGGAGGGGCAGGTGCCCCCTGAGCACAGCTGCCTGCATGGCTGAAGTTGGAGTGCACAAAACCACCCCATCCACAGGGGAACGGGCAGCCGAGGGGCCTGGGCCTGACAGCCACTGCCCCTGGCACCTGCCTGTGTCCTCGGCTGAGGAATGGGGCAGTGGCAGTCCCACCCCTCAGGGGGGCTGCGGGACCAGCAAGGCGTCCTGTGCTCAGGAGGAAGATCAGAGCCCCGGGGCGGGTGCCCTGTGCACCGTGTTCCCACGGAGAGCTCGGCTCCCTGCCCCCGGCCAGTCGGCCTCTGAAAGCAAGGCTGAGGAGTGATAAGATGGGAGCGGAATAAGGTGGGACACCAGCCCGGCTCAGAGAGCCTGTGGAGGGCGCCGGGCCGCCGCAGAGGCCACAGGCGGGACCCCGAGCAGGGAACCCTCACCGTGGGGGCCATGCTGGCCGGGGAAAGCGGGGGACACTGCACACAGCCCAGGTGGGGCGGGAAGCGCTCTGTCCCATGGGAAGGCCTGTGAACAGAGCCCAAGGCCCAGGGGCATGCTAGTGGTGTTTTCCTGTGGCACTGCCTGCGTATGGGGACCAGCTTGCAGGAGCCACGGACGGCAGAGGCTATCGCCCCAGGTGAGGACTGGGGGCTGGTGGGGGCTGCACAGGAGGCACTAGAAGATTCTTGGGGCAAGGGTGATAGAATTTGGTGACAGCCCGGATGTGAGAGGTGAGGCCAACAGGAAGGCCAGGAGGGGTTCCTGCCTGTTGAACTTGGACCCCTGGTAGGTGGTCCAGGCTTCGTGCTCAGCTGGTGCAACTGAGTCGGGGTGGCCTGGGCTGGGACAGCCCGGGCAAGGAGCCCGAGGACCCCCACTCACATCCGCGTGGGAGAGTCCACAGCACGCAGGCCCGCAGAGGAGCCAGCCCGCAGAGGGAGAGGTGCCCACCGACCCAGGCCTGTAGCGGCAGGAAGGAGGGGGCAGAGGAACGGGGGGGTGGGGGGGTGACAGAAGGACGAGGACGTGACCACAGGGGCCGGCCTTTCCGAAAGCCAGCTTTGAGGGAGGAGAGAAGGGGTGTCCTCAGAGCGGAGCAGCAGCCCCGGGCTGGGGTACGTGTCCAGGGTCATGATGGCAGCCGGTTGGAGAGGTGATGACCCGGCGGGCATTTGGAGAGGGCGGCGGGCCCAGGTGGTGCACTGGCCCTCATCCCCGCCAGGAAGGGAGGCAGAGGAGCTGGGTCTCCCCCAGGTGAGACCCCCAGGTGAGATGTCAGGAGACGGGGTGTTGGCTATCACCCAGACGTGCCCAGGGCTGGGTGTAGAGCTTCCAGTGAACGGGGGTGAAGCCTTTGGCCAGAAGATGGAGGACGGTGGTGAGCAGGCTCAGCACAGGCCCTACCCAGAACCCTCCAGGGACAGGCTGGGGAGCCTGGAGCTGACCCCTCACCCCGGACAGTGCAGAGGAGAGGGGGCAGGGGCCCTGCAGGATTGCACGGCTTGAGACCATCAGGGTCAGCACCTGGGGTTTAGGGGCTGTAGGTCATGAGGGCAGCCGAGGCCCACCCTGGTGTCCAAGGGGCTTTATGGTGCCTGCTGGGGCTGAGAAGTTCGGGCAATGCTTCTTAGTTCACTTTCCTTAAGCCTTTGAGGTCACAGCCGGCCGGCTGCCCTGGAGGAAGCGCATCTCCTGAAGAGACCTAGGTGGCTCTTTGGGGGGCTGTGCCCCACCCGCTGAGGCCTTCGGGCTCACATGCAACCAGCAAAGGCACCCTCAGCTCACAGACACCTCTGTCCATTCCTGGGCAGCGTGGGGCACAGACTTCCATGCCATGGGCTCAGGAGGGGGCTGTGGCCACAGGGCGGGTGTCCACACTGGGGTCTGCACCCCGACGCCAGTGGGCAGGTGGGCACTGGCTCCTCCTTGGCCTCTGGCTCCCAGGTCTGTGTCTGTGGCTCTGTGGGCCCCTCCCTCACCCCGTGGACCTCCCCGAGTCCTGCTCCATTCTCCTATCTTATTTTATTTTACCTGGTTTGCACACTGCCTGGGGCACACTTGCCATTCAGTAAAAGTGTGTGTGAACATATGAAATGGCCTTGCTCACCCTCTTCCTGTCCCTCTACCTCTGTGTCTTTTGGGCATCGGGTGACTTTCCCTGCACCCCTGGTTGGCCCTGACCATGGCCCTTCCGACCCCCAGCCACCAGTCCAGTTTAAAGGGCTCAGGACCAAGTGGCTGAAGGAGGAGTGGGTCTGAAGTATGAGCCCGGCTGTGTGCACACGTGTGTGTAGGTATGTGGGGGGTAGGGTACCATGCAGTAGCCCCTGTCTCTCTCACCTTGGCGGCAGAGCCCACGGCTCCTTTTGGATTTTATGGAGATTTCCTCCTGCAGCCGTGACTGATCCTTAACTCCTCTGCCAGCTCCTCTCCCCTCCCTGGGGAGTGTGAAGCTCCTAATCTTGCCTCGGTCTTTCTGGTTCATCCAGGAGCCCACCAAGAGCCCACCCAGCATTGCCTCCTTAGAACAGAAGGTGCTCCCATCACCCAGGAAATCCCCAGGGACTCAGGAGCTCTGCGCCCAGAACTGCGGGTGTTGTCTGTGATCTCGCACGGCCCCAGCTGATGCACTGCCGGAAACATAGGCACCCACCAGGCAAACCCACACAGAGAGACAATGAAACACACCTGCCCTGTAACCTTCACAAGTGTGGAGGCCACGCAAATCTAGGAGAGACTGAGGACCCTTCCCAGACCACAGACCATGAAAACTATGGAGAATATATTTATCCTCACTTTGCAACTCACCTATTCACTCTCACAATGTTATCTTTTGATAAACCAAAGTTGCTATTTTTTATGCAAGTCTTTGTTCTTGTTTAATTCATGTTTCGGCTAATAGGATTAATGTCCTGGGAATTCTTCATGTTTCTAGCTTCTCCTGCTCTATGATCCTCAGCTTTTTCTCCCAGTTTTGCTGTAGCAGCTTTATTGTCCTGCCTTCCGCACTTAGGTCTCGGATTAATCTCTGTACAGCGTGAGGCTGGGATTAGGGGGTCTCTGCTTCCTTGTGCTCTTTCCTGAGCATCCACAGAGCCCCTAGCTGAGACGGTCCAGCGTGGGGCTGACCCTAGGCCCAAGAGCTGCTCTGTGTCCACAGAGAGCCCAGTGTGCCCATCGTGTCCTGATGATTGGGTACATCTGCTCACTTTCATCTCCTTGTAGTTTTTGCTGCATTGCACACACTGTGCATTACAGACCTGCAGGGGCTGAAAATGACGTAAGTTTCTCTTAGAGAGGCTTCCCTCTCTCTGCTGTTAGTGGCCAGCGTGGACGGCATTAGTGTGTCTGAGGGATCAGCTGGGTGGAGTTTGCTGAGGTTTGGGTTTGGGGTTCCTGAGACTCGGTCCACTTCGGGTTTGTCGCTGCTGTGGGGCAGGGTGCTCCTGTCTTCCTAAGCCCTGAAGGAGTGCAGGGGATCCCCTTTTTCCCTGCAGAGATTTTGAACTCAGTGCTTCAGCCGGCTCTGCACAGCTGGAATGTCTTGGCAGGAGTCCTGAGGGGTGGGCTTGGCAGGAGTCCTGAGGGGTGGGCCACTCACAGGGCTGAGGCAGCCCCAGCCTGTCCAGCGGGACTTTGTCTCCTGCTCATTCGAGAGAATTCCCTCAGCCTCTTGGCAGTTCCAGCACCCGTGCCCAGCCCAGATGGCCCCAAGGAGCTCAGCGAGTGTCTGGCGAGCGAACCAGCTCTGCCCTGGGGCTGCTCTCTTCCACCTCGTCAATGAGCCCGTGAGACCCAGAACAGTCTCCCTGGTTTCCCTCTCCCAGGAGAGTCCCAATACCCTGGCCGATCCTTGTCACCCCCAGCCCCTCCCAGAACTGGACTCCCGAGAAACCTGGCTGTATCAGCTGCCTTGAGGGGCTGCTCCTCTTTGGAATCTGAGTTCCTCTGACCCTCCTTGCCTTTAGGGCCCTCTGGTGTCACATGTGTGTCTGCAATCGGTGCCCACATTTGTCCCCACTGGCTGTAGGATGTTTACCTGATGTGATGTGCTGCATCTCAGTGAAGCAAGTGCCGGCTGAAATGAACCTGACCTGGTGTGTTTAAGAAAAAGTTTATCTGGTGTCTTACTGAAGGCCAGAGTCCGAGAGTGCCCATCCATGCCCTCTCATAAACTTCTCCAAAGGCCCTTTATTTGGGAAGGCTGAAAAGAAAGATGCAGGCCCACATGGCATCGCTTCTGCTGGGCCGCATCACCAAACCGGGGCTTCCCGCTGCACCTAACTGCAGTTTCAACCTCCCCCAGAAATGCGGTCAGTCAGGAACTTTCCGGTCAGCATTGGTAGGACAACATCACATGTGTC